GCAATTTGACTGCCGACGGGTTTTCTCTCGCTTGGTTTGGCGGAAGTAATATGTATTAAGCTTGGCAACAGAAAGTCGTATGTGTTCTGGTTTGTCGGCAGTAAGTTATATTAAACCTGGCGAAATAACGTCGCATGTATTCTAGTTTGTTTGTTGTACGATATATTAAATCTGGCTAAATAAATTCGAGTGTGTTCAGGTCTATTGGTCACAAAATGTATGTCTACAGGAAGTAAGTTGTTTGTGTTCTTGTGTGTTTGTTTTTATCATAAGATGTATTATGTGGCTAAATAAGGGAGTGACTAAAAAAGTAAGCGACTAATTAAATAAGTATTTGACTTAATAAGTAACTGACTAAATAAATAAGTGACAAAAAAGTAAGTAGTGACTATATAAGTTTAAACAGAGAAGACACAAACAATAGATAGTACAATTTATTGCCTGGCATGTTTCGCTGTATCTCGTCAGGTGCATATTACACTAACAATTACATTAATGAAGCAGAAAAGTGAATCCTTTATAACTGAAGTACAAATTCAACAACGATCAAACATGACTGCCTGTTTTAGCCACAAAGTCAGAACCATATCTTTCTGTATACAGAGTTTCGGGCGCAGGTAAAGAATCGCGGAAGCTTCAAGAAATCCTAGCTTTCTGCTATTGATTGGACTAAATGAGTAAGTAAGTGACTAAAAAGGATATAAATAAGGGACTAGATCAGTAAGTAAGTAAGTGACCTAAAAAGTAGGTGTGTGACTAAACAAGTAAGTAAGTGCCTAAAAGAGTAAGTGACCAAATAATAAGGTGAGTAAATAAGTAAGTGACTAAATAAGTAAGTGAGTGACTAAATAAGTAAGACATGACTAAATAATTAAAAAAAAGTGACTATATAATTGGTAAGTGACTAAGTAAGTAAGTGACTAAATAAGTAATAAAGCGACTAAATAAGTAATTAAGTTACTAAATAGGTAAGTAACCGACTAAATAAGTAATTAGGTTACTATACAAGTAAGTAAGTAGGCGACTACATACATAATCACACAATTAAATAAGTGTGTGACTTAAAAAACAAATAATTGACAAAATAAGTAAGTTACGAAATAAGTAAGTGATCAAATAAGTAAGTGACTAAAGAAGTAAGTAGGCCACCTAAGGGATTTAAAAGTTCTTTTCCACTAGGTGTTCGGACAGGTTCGACCAGTCTACCGAGGCCTATCCTCCACGTCGTTCCGTTGCATCAATAGCCAGCTCGAAACTCTTTCTGCAGCTTCGTCCAGCTGCTTTAGTGTCTGTTTGCGATAGTTTCCTCATAAGCCCAGCTGCTTCGGTACATTGTATGTGGAGTTGGAGATCAAACCTGTTGCGAACACTTTGACGACGAAGAATTTTATCGCGTACTCCTCATCACTACTCAGACCGGTTTCCAGGTCATTGTATTGTTCGAGCTTGTACGGGTGTTGTTGCCGGCCTTCCGTGGCTTAGGCGTTGCCAACGCGCTTCGTAATGTAAGGGTGCCAGGTTTGATCCTAAGGGCAGGCGATATTGCGCAGTGTGTTGGTTTTAACAGTGATATCGAGAACCGACAGTTCAGTAAGAAATGGCAAACAATTAGATGTAAAATTTGCATAGAAATACCACAACAGCTAAAAAAAAAAAAAAAAAAAAAAAAGATGCCAATACGGCGAAGTTATCCTTAGTAAGTGCTATGTTCTGTCTCCTCCCCAGGATCACCAAAGCTCAGTCCACTGTTGTCTCGCCACGACTCTCCCGTTAACGTGTCCAAGACTCCAAGCCCCAGTCTCATCTACTCGTCCTCAGCAGCAACAGAGATCTGTGCGGTTGGGTCTCCCCACGGGTCAGATTCCAGTTTGTCGCCATCGCCAGGAGGTGGGCCCATTAAAAAGAACACACCAGGTGAGTGTAGTCAACATGCTGTCTTTTTTTTTTGATACCGTCTTTTTCTCGAATATAAGACCGGGTCTCATATTAATTTCTGCTCTCAAAAAGATGCCGTATGTGGGTTCAGGGGATGTCTTATATATATATATATATATATATATATATATATATATATATATATATATATAATATATATATATATATATATATATATATATATATATATATATATATATATATATCGCCGTCTCAACGCTTGAGCTGGAGTCCCATTTCAATTAATTCTGTGTAATATCAAATCTTTCAAACTCAGGCAGTGTGAATAAAAACAGATGGAGTAGAGAATGTGAAAACAGAATTTGCAACAAATGAATGATTGAATTTGTAACAAACATTGTGTTAAAACGTAAACTGTTGAGTGGCGAATTTGTAAAACATGAATGGTTACTCTATTTGTCATCACAATGTCGTTTGTACTGCTTTGTATGTCACCCTAATTCTGTCATGATTCAAATACACATTTATACATTTATTGAAGCAATAATTCTAATAATTATATTTGTTTTGATTTATGTATGCAGTAATCCATGTATAATTAAATGCATCCGCCGTGTGTTTCAACAGACACACGAAATTCGTCCGCCTGGCTGAGGATCCGAAGTGGAGCTTACATTTGGGGGAGGGCTTATATTGCGAGCATCTTGAAAAATCACGAAAAGGTTTTTTTTTTTCTGGGTTAGGTCATGGAAACGATGGCAGTTATTGTTGTATGGAGTCGGGCATCGCACCTGCTTAAATCGCTCTGTAACGTCTTTCGTTAATCACTTTTGCTGCCCCAGTGGTTAGAGTCGAGAGGATGGACTTCATTGAATCAGGTTTCACTCCATGTGGCTCGGTCTCTCTTCAAACCGAACTCTATAGTTACGGCGACGATCCTCAGAGATCTTCGCGAAATTGCACTTTTGAACTGAACGACGTGACGTAGCTGTGAAACGAATCCACGACATTCAGAACACGCCACTAACACTCACAGCCTTCCCATAGTTGCCGGAGTGAACTGAGCCGTGGGCTGTCATGCAGGAGACCCGGGTTTGATCGTCAGTAAAAGAAACATTTTTTTTTTCCCTGTTAGAAATAACAGTTCCACACCTACTAGTATTATAGTATTATATGGAACCGAGTCACATAATACAATTCTATCAATCAGCGCCCTTGCATTTTCCGTATACTTTTCTTGACTTTCAGTCTGTTATAAACCCCAGACCTTTTAGTTTGGTTTCTGTCAAGCGTCTTTGTTATTCGAATGTGAGTGCGTATTTGTGTGTATGCATTCTAATATGCGTATCCGTGTTGCTGTGTTGGCATCTGTGACTTCGTTGCGAACGCGCTTTGGTCGATTTAGCAGCAGATAGCGTTTCTAAAGTGGCAAGGACAGCTAAAAAAAAAAAAAAGTTTAAATACTTCGGTTACAAATTAATGCATCGCACAATTTACTGGCAGGCAAATTTCGCTGTATCTTATCAGGTGCGTAACGCGCCTGACGAGATACAAATAGCGAAACATATTCGGTCTCCAAGTCGTCCCCATGTAGGATGCAGTTTTTTGTTATTTGAAGCCCAACCCTGGCTTCTGCCGGAGGCCCTGAATATAGCCAGGGCATAGATATGGCCTAGCCATATAACGGCTGTTTCTGGGACCTCTACACGGGTGATCTTCATCCGCATGGTGGCACTTTGTGTCACTGGGTGTTTATCGCTTTGTGTGATGTCCTGATGGGGTACAAATACCTACGTACCATATAGCGAAATACGCCTGGCAGTAAATTGTTCAGTGTATTGTTTTTGCCAGCTTTATTTAAAATCACTGCGGGAAAACATTGTTTTGAACAATAAAATACCAAACCTGCAAAGTTAATGGCAAATGAATAGCAATCATCATCATGTAGCAGGTCCTTTGCAGAACGTCGCTCTCATCCCAGTCTGCCTGTAAGAAACTCGGTCTCTTGCTAGTTCTCCCGCCTTTGGAACTTTCACACTCAAGGAGTCACTTATATCCTGTGCCCATCTTCGTGTCGGTCGGTCCCTGCTCCTCCTTCCTAGTAACATGCCTTCTGCTATAATTTTTTCCAATCCGTCGTGGCGCTTAATATGACCAAAATATTTCAGCTTTCGGGAAAGGATGCTGTTTATTAGCCAATCTTCCTTGATGTTCAGATCTTTAAAGATGTCAATATTTCTCATCTTCTTTGTCCAAGATATTCTGAGAATCTTTCTATAGCATTTCAGCTCAAAAGCCCCTATTCTCTTTCTTAAGGACTGAGAGATAGTCCACGACTCACATGCGTATGCAGCCACAGGGAAGATGCATGCTATCAAAATTCTAATTTTTATCTCCTTGCTGTTTAACCATAGACTTTTAAGGCTGTTCAATCTTTGCATTGCTATGGCCATCCTCGTTTTAATGAATAGCCAGGCGGCCTTAAATCCCCAAGCCACAGATTTTCTAAAACACACCGCAATGAAAGTGGTATATAAAGCAATAAAAACGGTATTTTGTTTTAACGCCGTTGTGCTGGCATGTCTAACATCGTTTTACTTGATCTCTTTCGTCTAATTTCTTTCTTCTTCTTTGCGATCACTGTCTGTAGACCCCGGCGGAAAGTCCTGGGTGTTCGACCACTTCAGGACTTTTGTCTTTCTTCAGAACCTGAGTGTTGCGTGCACATCCGTTTTACAAATCTGACTTACTTGTATGAAGACTGTTGGTTATTTTCCTCTCAGGCAGATGTACTCCGACTTTAAGGAAACTCCCAATGAGTCGACTCTTACGACATGCTTGTTGGGGGAGCCAGTAGGTCATGTGAACCCACACAGAGCACATCTTCTCCGATTATCCTTTAGTCACAACGTACTCAAGATTTCCTATTTCACAAAACGTTACATTTCAAGTTAAATACTGAAACTAGTAACAAGTTGTATTTGTCAGTTGATTTCTTCCATGCGCCTTCTATTAGTCATTTAAATAGTGTAAAAGAAACCCTGTCTACAAATTATGTCCGACCCATTGTGTTCAGTTGCTTGCTGTATGTTTTAAATAAATAGAAATAATAATATATTGCTTGTGTGCACAGGTCTGTTGTGTGTGGTATGTGGCGACACTTCAAGCGGCAAGCATTACGGCATTTTGGCGTGTAATGGCTGCAGTGGGTTTTTTAAAAGAAGTGTTCGTCGCAAGCTCATTTACAGGTGTGTATCCTCTTATGTATCTTCTTATAAATTCCATTTTATATCCTCGTGTGTATCCTTCTGTGTATCTCTTGTGCACCCTCTTGTGTATCCTCTCTTAAATGCAGTGTTTTATCCTCTTGTGGATCATCTTGTGTATTCTTTTAAGTATCCTCTTGTATATCCTTTTCTTATCCTTTTGTATATCCTCTTGTATCTCCTCTTGTGTATCCATTGTGTCTCCTCTTGTATATCCTCTTGTCTCTTGTTGATCCTATTGTAAATCCTGGTGTGTATCCTTTTGTGTATCCTCTCGTGTCTCCTCTTGTATATCCTCTTGTCTCTCGCTTATCCTCTTGTATATCCTTTTATGTATCTATTTATATCCTTGTTATCTTCTTTTGTGTATCCTCTTGTAAATTAGCTTGTATATCCTCTTGCATGTCCTCTGGTGAGCTCTCTTGTAAATCCTCTGGTTTATTCTCTTGTTTATCCTTTTGTATATCCTTTTGTGTATTATTTTAATATAATAGTTTGTTTTCCTTTTATGTATCCTTTTTATATCCTCTTATTTATCATCTTTAATATCCTTTGTATTTCTCCTATATATCCTTGTGTATATTCTCATGTGTATCTTCTTGTGTAACCTCTTGTATCCTCTTGTTTATCTTCTTGTATATCCTCTTGTTATATACACTGTTTTATGTTAAGTCAGAGTTCTTCATGGCGAAGTCGTCAGTTGTTTGCCTCGCGCTTGTAAATCTTTTATCCCAACCATTTATTATTTTAGCTCCTGTTTTCCCCACTGGGTTGAGCTTGAAAGCAATGCTTACTTAGCTTTGAAAGAGTTAAACAGAGTCATTGTAGCACAGAAGAACTAATAATTCAGATACAAGGAGTTAATATAACAACGGTCTTCGAGAGGTAACAACAAGAGCAGTATATTATATCTGGAAACAAGAGATGTACGTAGGCTGTTTTATACTGGCAGAGTTAAGGTTCTGGGGGTAGTTTTTGGACTATGTTTTTTCCACTTCTCGAGTGCAAATGCTGTGGAGTCCCATGGGAGTCGTAGCTGTAGCTATGGAGTTCGTAGTTCGTTTGACGTTCCCGTCTATCCAGATAACAGTGTTATAATGTGCTATCTGGAGGCGTGGGAGTCGCCGTGGCGTAGCGGCTAGACGCTCGCGTGCGGATTGGAAGGTCGTGGGTTCGCTTCCTGGCGAAGCCAGACTTTTTTCAGAAATGATGTTGACTCCTAGGTCGACCGAGGCTGGAGTGGGTACCGCGTTGCATTTCCGGGAAGCAAAGGCGGCCGGCGTGATGCTGACCACATCACCCATTTTTTGCTTATTAGTCTATAAAAAATATAGGTCTAGCCCTATATGCCCTATACGCCTGAAGGTGTGGAAAAGAGAGCTTTACTGTACTTTTTCTATGTAGGCTTGGGAATCACTGTCTCATACGATAGGTAGTCTGACCAGCAAGAAGTGCCCGTATCAGGAAACCTTCTTGAACAATGCTTGGAGCATAGGGTCTATAGCACACACCTGTGGAAGTATTGCACAGGCCATGTGGTGCCCGTCTAGCGTGATCCCTCCCTCTCTCTCTCTCTCTCTCTCTCTCTCTCTCTCTCTCTCTCTCTCTCTCTCTCTCTCTGTCCTTTTTCTCTCTCTCCCGTCCTCTTTTTCTGTTTTATGTATGCGTATGTACGTACCTGTGTATGTATGTGTATGTGTAATTGAATGAGTGGGTGGGTGTGTGTATGTTGGTGTATGTGCACGCGCGAGTGTGAGCACGTATTTAACCACTCATGTATTTTTCTTGATATTCATATTATGTATATTATTATGTGAACATAACATGATTTACTGATAAAATATAACTGCTGTATGAAAGATGATTGTTTAATTTTGAACAGTTTAAAAAAAACTTCTTTGTTTCTCCCCCCCCCCCCCCCCTTTTCTCATCTATCTCTCTCTCTCTCTCTCTCTTTCTCTCTTTCTCTCTTTCTCTCTCGGCTTGCATTGTTTATTCGACAAGAAAGGTAATGTTTTTTTCAGGAGAAATCGATAATTGCACATTTATTGAATTAATGAATCGGATAAATCATAATTTGATCATGTCACTGACTACTGTAAAACTGTAGAAAATCATTAATTTATTTCACAGGATTTCTCACTGTATTTAATATTTAAGTAGACAAATCGCCTGTATATTCTGTGCCAGAGACTCGAACCGCTGTTGGCGACAGGTGACCCACGTTGAAGCCTGACATAACATTTTTGTTGTTGTTCACTTTCAGATGCCAAGCTGGAACTGGCATGTGTACAGTGGACAAAGCTCACCGGAATCAGTGTCAAGCCTGTCGGCTTAAAAAGTGCATACAAATGGGCATGAATAAAGACGGTAAGTCAACCTGATGCGGTGAGGCTGTTATATAGTTCACTTCCATGTTCTCTTCTTCTAGAAGCCGCAGTAACGATGCGGCTAGAGCCTTATCTGCTGCTCCGAAAGTCTTGTGTTTGAATCCGAATCGAATTAGATTTTTCTTTAAATGACCTGGGCTTCCATGTCAGCTTAGCCTAAAAAATAAAAAAAAAAGTAAAAGTAAAGTAAAGATTCCTTTTCACGCCTTTAGGCGTATCATGCATATAGGAAGAGCACCTATATTTTTACAGACCCATCAGCACTAACTGAGTAATGTGGTCATCATTACGCCGGCCGTCTTTACTTCCCCAGGACACCCATACTGGTACCCATTTTAGGCTGGGTCGACCGGCGGCGCCCCGAACCATGATAAAAATTATCGCAGCCAGCAGTAGGTTTCGATCGCAATACGTTCGAATTACGAGTCAGACTCGCAACGCCTTAGCCACGGACCCTGCTCCAGCCTAAAATGGGTCTCCGGTAAAGTCCGGAAGTAAAGCGGCCTGCGGGACCACATCAGCCACCTAGTGCCGGTTGGTCTATAAACTTACTAGTCTAGCATCACATGCGCGAAGGGCCAAGGCATTATTTGTAGCCCTTTACTTACATTAGTTACTCACTTCTCTTCTCGAGAGCCATGGTAGAGTAGTGGTTAGATAGCTGTGGTTATGTGTTCAAATCCCCATTCAGGGGAATGTATTTTGATTTTGCCATTAAAATTTAATTAGATTCCTAATGCAGAGAATAAGTACTAGTTCTGGGTCTTTCGGGGGATTCTTAACAAACTAGCCAGGTATGCCACCAATAGAGCAGCACAAACTATAAATAAAGCAATTAAAAAACTTAAGACCAACCAGCCAACCAAACGACCGACCAAGTTACTAGACAAAAAGACAGCCAACCAACAAACAGGTCAGGTTAGGAAGCACCAACTATCACATTTGTTCTGGTGTTATTCTCTCTCTCTCTCTCTCTCTCTCTCTCTCTCTCTCTCTCTCTCTCTCTCTCTCTCTCTCTCTCTCTCTCTCTCTCTCTGTCTCTCTCTCTCTCTCTCTCTCTCTCTCTGTCTCTCTCTCTCTCTCTCTCTCTCTCTCTCTCTCTCTCTCTCTCTCTCTGTCTAACTCTTTCTCTCACTCCTCCTCCCCTCTCCCTCTTTATCATCATCATCATCATCATCACATATTTCAGTGCATAACATCTTCTAGTTTATAAAAGTCTGCTGAAAATTATAGTTTCTACTTTAATGTACACCTAGACTCGGTATAATAAACAGTTGTGTCCTCCTGTCTTTTCAAGCTGTCCAAAACGAGCGTCAGCCCAGAAATACTGCACAGGTGAGAGAAGATCAGATAGAACACGAGCTGGAGCATCCGTTGGTTCCTTCTAATGCAACAGTCAGCGCTACTCACCCAGCGTTCAGCCCAGGAGCCAGCCACAGGTTTATCGCCAGTCTCATCACTGTCGACAATGCGGCCTCAAAGAATGATCCCGATGATACAGGTAGAGTAGCTTCATTAGCAAGTTGGCTGTTTGCTTGGTTGGTTGGTCTCTGAAGAAATGAAGTTAAAACTATTTTCGCTACTGCTTTATTGCTCAGAAAAATATCAGTCTAGCCTAGAAGTACAACTAGAAAGCATCACAATATCACAGCCACAAACGACAGAATAAACGTTGCCGCGAGAAAGCCTTCATCAAAACCTATATAAAGTCCGTTATCTTTTATGTTTAGATCCGATGAGCTTTAACTTATCGTTTCTGGTGGCGACTGTTGGCTTTGGCGCCTCTAGCGTGCGAATATTTCTGGATTGTTCCAGGACTAATGGCTTGTTCACCAGGTTTTCAAATGCGACATTAAGGAACATTTCATTTGATTTTCACTGGCACAGGAACAGAGCAAGTATGGGGAAAAACCCCATTGCAGTGAAACTGAAACCTCGACTAAGACAAAGCTTTTTTAAAACGCCTCACGTATGCCAAAGTCAGGTTGGTGTAAAAGACAAATGTTGAGATAATACATATCTTGTAAGGAGGAACTAGCAAACCTACGGCGAATTGACTGAGACAGAATTAGTTAGATATTATATTATATTTATGGGACTGCAGCCTGAAAGACTGACACCCAGTGGCTCACAGAGTCATTATTTGGATTGGATTATCTTTGAAAATGTTTTATACCACTCATTCGGCAATGGAATTTTCAGCATTGTAATTTAAAATAACATCTCAAAATTCTATGAGGATCGTGTGAGTACATGTCTGTTTGTGTTCATAAGTATGGATGTGTGTGTATGTGTTTATGTGTATATGTGTCTACACACTTTTCGTGATTCACACACTAACGTTGAAGCTAGTTTTGTGTAAAACAAAACAAATTCTTTGTTGTTGTTGTTGCTGTTGTTGTTGTTGTTGTTGAAAATCGTATAAAGTCGTATATTTATTGCATAAGATGTTCTTTACCTCAGGTGATGAGAATATTGACGTCACAAGCGTAGAAAGCGACCAGCGATCGCATCAAGGCCATCAACACCACCTGCACCAACAACATCCCAGCGCCCTCTACCTGGAGAGCGCCATCTATCCCCCAGGACACGAAACGTTGTACGAATGTTCGGCCAGGCTTCTGTTCATGGCGGTCAAGTGGGCGAAAAATCTGCCTTCTTTTGCCAACCTACCCTTCAGAGATCAGGTAAAGTTCGGAAACAAATTGTCATCGGTATAGTCTTTTATTTACTATTTGTTTCTGCCTATCACTTACACACCTGTTTACCTACCTGCTTACCTATAATTTAACAATCTGTCTACTGCCCATTTACCTGTCAGGTAAAACGGTTAAAATGGACGCTAGACAGCCGCGCTGTTCTAAGCAGAGGCAAATTTTTTGCTTCTGCCGGACGGTGGCCAAAGTATTTTTGCTCCATTTGTAGACTTGATATAGTTTCGTCGCCCAGCTTCTGAGTTGAATGCATGGTGTGACCCTGTGAGCTGCGGATTGCATTTGGAATGTATTTTCGACTGTGACCAACGTGGTGGTGTGAATTGTAGATTCAGAAAATGGCGTGATGCCTGTCGTGCAATGTTGGCGGTGCCCGTATGTGATTACAATTGATCGCGTGGGCAACTGCTGATCTGTTGGCGACAAGTTCTGCTATCATCAATGATGAACTGCATTTCTAATGTTGGACTGTTTGTGTTAGCACTTCGGATGGCTACCGTATGCTTTAATGCGAGTGTATGCTAGATATGCTGAGACAGCAGTCTGTCAATCTGTCCACAAGGGACTGTGATAAACATTCTGAGTGTTTTTCGTTGGCACAGAAGCGGAGCAAAGATGGGGCGACCCGTTTGCCATGAAGCTGAAACTAAGACTACCAGACTACCAGACCTGTCAGTCTAGCTATCTTTTTTCTTGCGTGTATGCTTCTACCAAACTATTTACCTACCTAATTTCTGTCAAACTATCTACCACATACCTGCTTAACTACATGCTTTTCAACCCTTATTCTTACCTATCTATTATTACCTAGCTACTAACACCAACCTACCATAACTCACCAACCTATCTACTAATCATTCACATGTACATCTAGGTATCTGTTTACTTATGTCTCGCATGTTCCCCTACCAAACTATTTATCTACCTACTTTCCGGTTACCTGTCTTCCACGTGCATATTTACATTTCAGCCCAAGTGCTAACCAATTTTTTTACATAGTTACTAACACCCACCTGATGCCTCTTTTACTGGGGCTGCATTGCTAACTCACAAATTATAGTCACTGACTGACCTTCAACCATTCCAGGACATCACGTCGAGTAAAAAACACCCGACGACACAAAGTGCCACCATTCCCAGAAACCCCGTTCAGCCCATAGGTTGGGTTATATTAGGGTCCCTGGCAAAAGCCAGGATGGGACTTTAAAATAACGAATAACTGCATCCAGCAAGGGAACGGAACCATACCAGTTATAGTATTAAATAGACACAATTTACATAATACGGACTGCTAAATAAGCGCACTCTCATATTGTTGATTAGCATTTGTTAGGAACCCTAAACTAGTTGTTTTATTTATGTCAAATGTTCATTTATCAGAGTGCGGGTGCGTATGTATGTATGTATATATGTGTATGTATTCGCATATGTGTTTGTTGTCTTTATTTGTCGGCGTCTGTGTCATAGATGTTGCGAACGGAATTTGTAATTATGAAATACCCCGTTCGATACAGCATGATATTTGGCAGCAGACAACATTGCACTGATGTTCAGTTCATTGTAAGAGCAAAATACTGAACGTAAAATTGCCTAGTTGTAGAGAAAAACAGGTGCTGGGGTTTGTTCTGCAACGTCGTAAAAATATATTAAACAAAGTATTTATGAGCGAGCATGAACGTGCATTTGTTACTTTAACTCCTCCGTCAAAGGCATCGTTAAAGGGACCTTTTTGACAGCATTGACACGTTATTTAAATAGCAAATTAAGTGTAAAGTAATGGACACTTTTCCAAGCCTGAAAAAAAGACTCTTGTAGTGTTGATGCGACCAAAAACCACCAGCCAGCAAATGGGTGACCGGGTCGCCGATGAAAGAAGACAAAGAAGAACTTTCCTGCTTCTTATTGTACGCTGAGTAAAGCAATGAGACCTAGATCATTGATAATAAATCCTCTTTGGTAGACTCCAAGAACTAATGGCAGACCAGCTAGCGTCTAGTCAACTTCTCTACCATGACTTTCAAGCACACCAATAATGATGCAGAAAGTATTACAATCAGTGAAGATTGAGGAATGACTGGCACCTTTCCGTCTTTCCAGACGATAGTGTTATGTTGCGCTATGAGGAGGCATTGACTTACAACGCTTGGGGATGTCGAGTGTGACTAGTACGGCCCGCCCGCGTTAAGAAAAGTCTTTCACAATTATAGCATGGAATTTCAGGACCACTGTTGTCAAAATGTGTGCTTAGTGTATTTTTTTCTGACGCTCAGCTTCCATCTTTTCTGCAGTCACTTCTTCCTTCATTCTCATTATCTTCCCGATGTGCCCTCTCCTCACAACACGGTCCACGGCAAATTGTTTCCACGAGTCCACTTCAATACCTGTATCAATCATGTCCCGCTTGCAAACATATTTATATCGTAGTAGAGGTCGGTTACAATATATTTCTTTATATATTTACAGGTAATTCTTTTGGAGGAAGCCTGGAGCGAATTATTTCTCCTGTGCGCGATCCAGTGGTCAATGCCAATGGACGCCTGTCCATTGTTTGCCATACCTGACCATGTTCCAGTCTTGACCAATAGCAAAGTGTCTCCATTTTCTGACATGCGCATTCTTCAGGATGTTATGTCCCGATTCAAAACCGTGCAAGTTGATCCTGCAGAATTTGCCTGTCTCAAGGCTATTGTTTTATTTAAATCAGGTACTGAAGCAAAACACATTTTGTATAAACTGTTGAATTGTTATTACTCGTTATCTGCTAAGTTGTTCACCAGATAAGTACAAGGAGAACGTATATATGGATCCAGTTCACGTTTCCCGGACCATATACACACTGGCTGAGCTTTTATTCATACTTTCTCAGACTCCTCTACGTCAGAGGATGTCACGTTGTCTTGCACCCAATTACATCAGCGCCGTTGTCGCGTGTTCTATACTACAAGACAACACAGCTTTCAACAAGCCCAGAACATCTAGAACTGGCCCTAACCCAACCACCCCCCCCCCCCTTACCCAAAGCCTGAGCCTAGGTAACACGAGAAACTTTTCGAAGAAAGCAGTACAACGTGACACCCCTCTGACCTTGATCAGACTGAGAAAGTGCGAAGATGAGCTGGGAAACGTTAACAGGTCGTATAAATTAAGACACACCTGGGAAACGTTAACAGGTCGTATAAATTAAGACACACCATATCAACGTTCTTACACGCACGCAATTTACACACACACACACACACACACACACACACACACCAGGGGCGTTAGAATCGGAAGTCTTAAAACTCATGAAGACCCCCTCCCCACACTCCACACCTTCTGCAGAAACATTGAAGTTGGATGAGGTGTGTGAGCTCAGCCTCCTAATAAATGTGTGAATATACAGAGCGACTCCCTAACCATTTATATGAAGTTATCTTTTAAAACTACGTTTGACACATTTCATATTTTTTCATTGTGTGTGTCTGTACACTTCTTTTCAGCTGACTCTATACCTCAAACTAGTGAGGCTTGCAAGTATGGGCATTTTTATAATTGGGTGCTGAAGATTATACTTTAATCTGAAACGTATCCGTGTGAAACATGTCTAGAACACGTGCGATGATCATTGCATTACTAACTATACGGTAACCCTCACTTTTGATGCAGATACTCGAAGTCTTAAAGACCCCCACCAAGTGGAGAGTTTGCAAGACCAGGCCCAAGTCATGCTAGGACAACATATACGGGGACAACATCCAACACAACCTTTCAGGTGAGTTACAACACAGCCTTTCAAATGTCTTAAAGCTAAGTGTTCCCATAGCACAGTATACACATGCCGTTCTCTTGCTATGATACTACCCTCCTTACCATATTCACTCCCAATTTCTCGTTCACGCATTCTTACACAAGCTGTTTATTACTCACATTTATTTTGATGGCTTCGTGATTTCAACAATCAACAAAGCTAAAACGAAAGGGTGGGCATGGTATTATCACTACCAAACACACACACACACACACATACATACACACACACACACACACACACATACATACATACACACACACACACAAATAGATTATTTACAGGACTGTTAGAAAAAAAAAGTTTATTCGATTTAAAAATCAGAACTCTAAAAGTATACAATGAAAATACAATAGACACTGTATATCACAATTGTAATGAAGAGAGTTGTACAGTATTTGAGTGTATTAAAACTAGTACTACAATAAAACCACGATCAGCGAATTCCAAGAGCTCGAAAAAGCAAGTGTATCCAAGTCCAAGTCCTTTTGAGAAAAAAAAAGAAAAGCTCGACCACGTTCAGACTGCTGCTAGCTAGCCTAGGCTGCTAACAGTCTCCGCCTATATTTGTGGTCTGGTTTATTTGCGTCACTTTCGTGACTGAAAACTGGTGTTTGTGCCATTTCTGGCTTAATGCTTCCATCCGAATCGAACCGCTCGTCCTGTTGTCACTGGTTCATGTCTTCCTTTTTCATTCTTGGTGTTTCCTGTTTGTTCTGTCTCCCTTTGATCTGGCTAGGCGTATCTCGAAGGAGAGCGAGCTTCCAAACACAACGACCTTTCGGCCACCAATTATTGTTTTAAAATTTTGAGTATTTTAATTTTGCCAAAAAGTACTGAAAACAGTTTTTGAATGTGAATAGTTCCGAAATGTGTAAATTTTCCGCGTGTGACCATAGTGGTCTTATAGATGTCTTCCTCTAATATGAACGGGTTAGTCATGTAATGGATATGTGTGTGAGAGTTTGTGTGGAGTCTTAAGCGGGTCCAGTCATTTGTTATTATGTGATCGGGTTGTGTTGATAGCTAAGCTCCGGTGTACGTAAATACCATATAACCGGACCGTCCAGCTCACGCTTTGAGATCCAAATGATCGGCGATGAGAATTGTTGTGGCATGTTGGGCAACGAACTCAAGTGCTCTCTGTGGGAATGGGTTGGGGGGTTAAACTCATAGTGCATCCGAAAGAGTTAGGGAAAGGTGGGGGGAAGGGGAGCGGGAGGCCATTCAGTCAATTCCCATCGTTGCCGTCTTGCTGGATTCTAGCGTGGCTTTTTGCCGGGACTATGTTTATCACGTTACCAACCTTTGCTATCATCCCAGTGATGGGGTGGTATTGGAGGTTCTGCGTTCTAGTCCTGTCATTATCGAGTCACTTGTATTCCCTATTTGCTGTCAGTCATATTTTTGTTATGAGTCCTGTCGGTCATGTGCATGTTGTATGCATGCTGTGGAGTGGGATGGTTTTGTTTATGAATCCCCGGAGTATATGGACGCACCCAACTAGGTGTATGCGTACATGCACTCGAGTACTCATACATGCAGACAACACTACATATTTGTACGTCCTTTCATACTTATCCGTGTATGCATACCTAATTGACATTACGTACACACGCAAACACAAGTGTATTAAAAAAATTGCGTGTTAACCGTGGACTTATATTACATTACTACTGAACATCCAACATTTTGTTCAGGTTAAACGAATGTTCGTCTTAAGCTAGTTCGTCTTTAGTGGATTTCACTATAGATCATCTTGACTTGTTGTGCACATGTCTCACATGTGCTTTCGTCTTGCTAATTCCACGCCGAATTCTCAAGTTAGAAAGCCCCGGGGCCGGTATTTCATCGATTGTTGTGTCAACGTGCAGCAGATGGTCTCCTTAATTGGATACGTTTCGTGTGATTTCACAGCCTGATTGGCTGTCGAAGTGGAATTGTTTGTAGCGAACATTACAAATGTATAGTAGCACACTGATGGGCCGTGATTGTCACCAGGAAATCAGAACGTTTACTTACGTTTCGGAAAAGTCTACTTATGTTTGCCTTCAAATAAAATAATGTGCCGCCGTAGTCTAACTGCTAGTCGCTCGCCTGTGGATCGGAAGATCGTGGGTTCGGTTCCTGATGCGGGCCGTACTTTTTTTTTTAAATGACCTTGGCTCCCAGCTCGACCCAGCCTTGAGTGGGTACCAGGTGCAGATCAGGGAAGTAAAGGTGGCCGGTGTGATGCTGACCACTTCACCCACCAAGTGCCGTTTATCTATTAAATATGGGTCTAGCCCTATATTTCAAATATGCCTAAAAGAGCGTGAAAGGGGGCTTTTTTTTTTTTAACTTTTCAGATAAATTTGTATAAATGATATGAGAGAAGTGTAATTTATCAGATCTCTGTGTGTGTGTATGTGTGTGTGTGTGTGTGTGAAAGAAAGAGAGAGAGAGAGTGAGATGCATGTAGACAGGGCGGATACTTAATAGTCACACAGAAATAGACTAGGTGGCTGTGTGGTCTCGAGGCATGGTCTCCGCCTCGTGTGCTAGAGGCGCCGGGTTCAATACCCGGTGAGGACTAGGATTTTCTCAAGGGGATTTGGACTTCTATAATTCCCCCTGGTCTCTTTGTAGTGAGATCGGACGCCCGTGTGCATTGTTGCGCATGTAAAAAAAAAAATTAATTCTTTTGGCAGTTTGAAATCGAAAAAAAGTAGCCTAACGGCGCTGCCCGAGTAAAAATTTGGAGTTAAACATCAACCTTAAGTATTTCAGAATCCTAGCCGGTGCTACAGAGCCTGTGCACTGTGCTGAGCTTCTTCGAACTCAGACTTGAGTTAGAAGAAAAAAGGAGCACTTATTGGCTACTACTGAAACGTGCGCCCCCGATGCTGAGAGGCCACTTTTTCATGTGCGATTAGGTACCAAAACAAGTGCAGTATAGAGATATTACGACGCCATCAGCCAAGTGTAGAACAGTCAGAGATTGATTCCAACGATGAAACAGGAAGTCTATAACATTAACAATGAACTTCGATGCGTCCAAACGGGAGTTAAATACTGAAGGCCATGTATAGGGTATCCAAATGGTGTATTGACAAACACTTTGATCCAAAATGAGAATATGTGCAAATAACCTGATGAATGGGGAAGACTCACCCAAACGCTCGCTACGTCTCGCACACTCGTCTAGAGAAATTCAAATGACATCTTCAAACAACTCCTTACGGGTTAACAGCGCGACCTTGAGAGTCTAGACGGTCACATTGATCTCCTCTTGTGCAGTCGGAAACTAGATAACAGGGCAATGTCCCTCCTTAGTGATTCCACTAAGAGATCCATTAGTTGTAGATATTCCATCTTCCTGCCGAGCACACTAATCAATGTACCAGCTCTCGGCTGAGGTTTTTACGTGGAATCCCGGGATAGAACTTCCTCAAGGATCCACTGAGACATGATCACACGTCTGTCTCCTTCAAACTTTATCCTCCGAATCCTAGATTCCAATTCCCTAACAACATTACGTATTGTTTTGACTTCCTATTTGCTCAGTTCAGTATTGGTGTGTTTTAGTGCATATCTGCACGCGACAACTACCCGTGTGCCATGATGTTGATCCGTTGTTCAATCCTCAGACCTCAAACAGAAAAAAAAAAGACTATATATATATATATATATATATATATATATATATATATATATATATATATATATATATATATATATATATATATATATATATATATATATATATATAATGTAGCAGGTCGCTTGCAGATCGTCACTATTATCACGGTCTGTCTGAATGAAACTTGATCTCTCGCCAGATCTTTTACCTCGTGCAATTGCCTACCCTGAGTGTCAGATATCATGTGCCCATCAACGCGCAGATCGGTCCCTGCACCTCTTTCTTCGTACCATGCATTTTGCCATTTTTTTCCCAAATCCACTGTTGCATTTGATATGGAAAACAAATTCTGTTTCGGACACACTATGATGTTTACTAGCCAATCGTCTTTGTTCAAATTTCAATATTTTTATTTCTTTGTCCGAGGTATTCCTATAATATTGTCACTATTATTAAGACATTCAAACATAACTTTGAGCGCACAGAGACAGATTATAAATAGCCCATCCATTCAAACTTTAGGCTACCAGTACCAAACATGTACACTGTCTAAAGCATATGTACGCAAAATCACCACTTGCGAGATGAGATGCCTGAGAAAAGCTGCCAACATAACTATCCGAGATCGAAAAAAATAATGATACTATCACACAAATTGTGGAAACGACACCTTGATTCTAGATTCATCGAGAAACAGCAGAATCAAGTGGTTTGGCCATCTTATTAGAATGTGGCTAGATCAAATGACATCAAAAGCACAACATCTCATGATCAAGAGGACGATCGCGAGCATAGGTCGACAACATTAAAGACAATCTATGCCTTCACGGCATGACAATAGCCAGTGGCAGCCAGCGTCCACTGGATTGCAAATTATTCCTCCCCACGTCGCTTATGGGCAGAAGTTTATGATGATGATGATGATGTTTCGACAGCATTTAAATTCACACACACACACACACACACACATATATATATATATATATATATATATATATATATATATATATATATATATAAAACGGCGTCTGTGGCTTAGGCCACCGCCTTCTCCAGAATCCCCGTTGACCTAGTTGACCTATAATCAGAGTCGGCTGTGCTTAGGCGTTGCAAACGCGATTCCCAATGCCGCGGTGCCGTGTTCGATCCCAGCCATAGACAATTCGTCTTGCCTTAGTTTCGACAGTGGTAGAGAAAGCTGACCGTTTGGTGAGCAATGGCAAAACTACTGAACATAAAATGTGCCTAGAAAAACCACAACATGCAAGCATCTAGGATGAACATTGCTGTAACTTTTTTTTTCACAATCAGGAGAGAGATCTCAATCTAATTTAAACTATTCACGTAGTTAGAAAGGGGGGGGGGGGGGGGGGGGGAAGAGGGTGGGGATTAGACTCGCTGCTCTTTAACAACCATGTCCGAAATTGCGACTAACTGAGAATTTGCAGCAGCAAAAGAAGAAGAAGAAGAAGAAGAAGAAGAAGAAGAAGAAGAAGAAGAAGAAGAAGAAGAAGAAGAAGAAGAAGAAGAAGAAGAAGAAGAAGAAGAAGAAGAAGAAGAAGAAGAAGAAGAAGAAGAAGAAGAAGAAGAAGAAGAAGAAGAAGAAGAAGAAGAAGAAGAAGAAGAAGAAGAAGAAGAAGAAGAAGAAGAAGAAGAAGAAGAAGAAGAAGAAGAAGAAGAAGAAGAAGAAGAAGAAGAAGAAGAAGAAGAAGAAGAAGAAGAAGAACAACAACAACAACAACAACAACAACAACAACAACAACAACAAAAACAAAAACAACAAGGAGAAGAAGGAGGAGGAGGAAGATGGGGAGGAATAGTAGAAGAAGAAAAACAGAAAGAAGAAGAAAATGATGATGAAGTAGATGATGATGAAGAAGAAGACGAAGAAGAAGGTGAAGAAGAAGAAGAAGAAGAAGAAGAAGAAGAAGAAGAAGAAGAAGAAGAAGAAGAAGAAGAAGAAGAAGAAGAAGAAGAAGAAGAAGAAGAAGAAGAAGAAGAAGAAGAAGAAGAAGAAGAAGAAGAAGAAGAAGAAGAAGAAGAAGAAGAAGAAGAAGATAATGAAGAAGAGGATAAAAATCATATTTTGGCAGCTCTATTTAACAGAAATGATTTTACTGTGTATTGAGATAGGATTGGACATGTTGAAGTCTAATTAGAACAAACTAACTGTGTCAGTTTAGTTACAGGTCAATTCAGTTACAGGCTAGACACCTAACTAACGTATGCGTAATGTTGTTTTTTTTTTTTTCCTTTCTGTTTCCAGATTTGGCCGACTTCTGCTTGTTCTGCCCACACTTCGATACGTACCCTCTGATCGGATTGAGCGGCTCTTCTTTGGACGCACTATTGGAAACACACCAATGGAAAAACTGCTGTGTGATATGTTCAAGAGCTAGTATGGACCGCAAACAATTGTTAGAGATGTTCTACATAAATTGTCATTTTTTGTGTTATCTAGAATTTGGAGCATAAGAGTTAAATGCCATGCAACCATCTTTACTGCCTCTGTTTAACCTGCTCGTGGCGGCGTTGGGACACCGTTGTGGGTTAGTGGTTAGCTGCTCGCCTGCGGATCCGAAGCTAGAGCTGGATGTTTTTCACAATAATCTTGTCTCCCATCTACCCAGCCTTAAATGGGTGCCAGGAAAAGTCTTGGGAAGTACAGGCAGCAGGTGTTATAGTGACCAGGTCGCCTACCATGTGCCGATTGATATAACCTAAAGTCTAACACTATATGCCCAATACACCCGAAGGCGTGAAAAAAGGTCCTTTAGTGCTGTATAGGAAAGGTTAGTCGCGAGACTAAGGATTTAAGACCGCATACCTAGTGCCATCGCGAGAAACTTTGCAGGCTAGGAATTTTATTTATGTCCCCAACAGAAAAAAAAAAAAAATCTCTATTCTTGACCAATGACTGAACCCGTGTCTATCACAGGAAAGCCAAGCACTAAACTCACACAGAATGGGAACTTTTTAAAATTCATGCTGTGTCCCGTTAGCCGCCGACGTCTGTCCAGTCTTCTGTCACGCGTATACAGCTTACACGTGTCAAGGGTTGAATGTAGTCTGTACCACACCCCTGTGCAATCATTTATATTACGCCCTGTTCTTTGAGCCACATTTCAACAATGCCACTGCCATAGTGTATAGGGGGCCTTATATGCCCAATAAGCCTGAAGGAAAAGGATCCTTTACTTCCCTTTTCACTTTAATTAATTTGCCCTACTATTCTAATGCAAGAAAGCTTCAGGTCATGTGATTTTTATAATGACAAAAGCAATACAAATCTTAACATTTTATTACTGCTAAATATATTTTGCCAGCATCGACATTTCCCGTCCTGGGCAGCTGCACGTGTCGCACATACCTAAATACAGTCCTCAAATGCCCCTACATGCCAAAATGTCTAACATTGTCTCTCTTGGTCTCTCCCTAAGTCTTCTTCGCTCCTGATTTGCCTGTTGAAACAATGTACTAAATTTCACTCTAAAAAAAAAAATGAATTCACACAATTTTATTAAGAAGCTTAACTAAGGGAAAGACAAACAAACGTTTCGACAGAAGCCTTTGTCAGCAAGCACTACAAGAAGAAGAAACACCCTGGACACTATATCAGTTCACAGGGAAGTCATGCGAACAACTATACCAGTTCGTTCGTGTTGGGGCTGGTGGCCAGGACTCTTCTTATGGTAGTGCTCATAGTAAAGGCTTCGGTTCGAAACGTTCATTTCTTTCTGTCTGTTTCTTCACTTCACTTTGTCCCCTCGTTGGGTTACTTACTCATAGTTCAGAGACAGTTCCCCGTTTTAAACTAGTTCTACTGCAATCCCATATATTTTCATAACTTTTGGATATATTGTTTCCTTCCCATGGTATGCCTAAAGAATGCTTACAATCGGGCTATCAGTCGTGGTTCCACCTTTATCACAAACGGGTCTCTCCATAATTGCTCTGTCCCTGAGCAGACACTAGTCTGTCGGACATCATGAACAATAATACGTTTAGAACAAAGTGTGCTGCAGAAGCCAGCAGATGAGAAGAGCAGTTCTCTCCTCTCATACCAGCTGCGATTTAAAGCAAAAGTCCTGATATAGCAAAAACACTACCAAATAAAATCAGCTTTTACATGTCAGCGTTCTGATTATGGTCGTGACATCCATCGATATCAAGAACAGCTACAATTATTACATTTTCACTGTTTTCATTTTTCATCCAAATCTCCATTGAGTATAATAACAAGAGTGAAACACTTGTTTGCAGGCTTTGTTGTAAAATAGATTCCAGTACATGTGTATTGAATTAGCTTTTTACAATACAAAAAGATCTCTTTTTTTTATTTGTATGTGTGCCCATTGATGGTAGCAGACGGCTTATAGGAATAAATATTTATGATGCTGACAACTTTGTTTTACATGCAGTGTTTCTTACATTTATTTCAACTAGTCCTTTTTACATGCACGCACGCACACACGCACGCACGCACACACAAAAAAGACATATATATCTTAAGATGTACTGGTGGTCAATGGGCCAGTCACGAAAATTATAGAGATATATATGGACACAGAGATATATATGGATCTCTTCTCACATCAATGTGGGACATCCTTGGCAGACACTAGTCTATAAGACATCGTGAGCAGATACTTGTCTACGAGACATCCTGGGCAGACACTAGTCAATGGGACATCCTGGGCAGACACCAATCTATGGGACATCCTGGGCAGAAACTAGTATGTGGGATATCGTGGGCAGACACTAGTCCATGGGATATCCTGGGCAGACACTAGTCCATGGGGCATCCTGGGCCGACATTAGCCTTTGGGACATCCTGAGCAGACACCAATCTGTGGGACATCCTGGGCAGACACCAATCTGTGGTTCATCCTGGACAGACACCAATCTGTGGTACATCCTGGGCAGACACCAATCTGTGGGACATCCTGGGCAGACACCAATATGTGGGACATCCTAGGCAGACACTAATCTGTGGGACATCCTGGGCAGACACTACTCTATGCGACATCCTAGGCAGACACTAGTATGTGGGACATCCTGGGCAGACACTACTCTATGCGACATCCTAGGCAGACACTAGTCTAGGGGACATCCTGGGCAGATACTACTCTTTGGGACATCGTGGGCAGACACTAGTCTATGGGATATCCTGGGCAGACACTAGTATGTGGGACATCTTTTGCAGACGCCTGTGGGACATCGTGGGCAGATACTAGTCTATGGGACATCCTGGGCAGACACTTGTCTATGGGATATCCTGGGCAGACACTAGTATGTGGGACATCCTGGGCAGACACTAGTATGTGGGACATCCTAGAATGACACTAGTATATGGGACATCCTAGGCAGACACTAGTATCTGGGACATCCTGGGCCGACACTAACCTATGGGACATCCTGGGCAGACACTAGTATCTAGGACATCCTTTGAAGAAGTCTGTGGGACATGGTGGGCAGATACTACTCTATGGGACATACTGGACAGACAATAATTTATGGGACATCCTGTGCAGACACGAGCATGTGGGACATCCTTTGAAGACGTCTGATGGACATCCTGGACAGACACTAGTCTATAGGACATCGTGGGAAGACACTAGTCCATGGGATATCCTTGACAGACACTAGTATGTTGGACATTCTGGGCAGACACTACTCGATGGGACATCCTAGGCAGACACGAGTATGTGGGACATTCTTGGCAGACAGTAGTCTATGGGACATCCTAGGCAGACACTAGTCCATGAGATATTCTGGGCAGACACTAGTATGTGGAACATCCTGGGCAGACACTAGTATGTGGGACATCCTGGAAAGACACTAGTATGTGGGACATCCTGGGTAGACACTAGTATGTGGGACATCCTGGAAAGACAATAGTATGTGGGATATCCTGGACAGACACTAGTATGAGGGACATCCTGGGCAGACACTATTATGTGGGACATCCTGGAAAAACACTAATATGTGGGATATCCTGGGCAGACACTAGTATGAGGGACATCCTGGGCTGACACTAGTATGTGGGACATGCTGAGCAGACACTAGTATGTGGGACATCCTGGGTAGACACTAGTATGTGGGACATCCTGAGCAGACACTATTATGTGGGACATCCTGGGCAGACACTAGTCTATAGGACATCCTGGGCAGACACTAGTCTATAGGCCATCCTGGGCAGACACTAGTCTATAGGCCATCCTGGGCAGACACTAGTCTATAGGACATCCTGGGCAGACAGGAGTATGTGGGACATCCTGGGCAGACACTAGTCTATAGGACATCCTGGGCAGACAGGTCTATAGGACATCCTGGGCAGACAGGAGTATGTGGGACATCCTGGGCAGACACTAGTCTATAGGACATCCTGGGCAGACACTAGTCTATAGGACATCCTGAGCAGACACGAGTATGTGGAACATCCTAGGCAGACAGGAGTATGTGGGACACCCTGGGCAGACACTAGTCTATGGGACATCCTGGAAAGACACTAGTCTATGGGACATCCTGGGCTGACACTAGTCCATGGGATATCCTCGGTAGACACTAGTATGTGGGACATCCTGGGTAGACACTAGTATGTGGGACATGCTGGGCAGACAGTAGTATGTGGGACATGCTGGGTAGACAGTAGTATGTGGGACATGCTGGGCAGACAGTAGTATGTGGGACATGCTGGGCAGACAGTAGTATGTGGGACATCCTGGGTAGACACTTGTATGTGAGACATGGTGGGCCGATACTACTCTATGGGATATCCTGGATAGACATTAATCTATGGGACATCCTGGCAGACACTACTTTGTGGGACATCCTGGGTAAACATTAGTATATGGGACATCCTGGGCAGATACAAGTGTGTGGGACATCGTTGGCAGACATTAGTATGTGGGACATCCTGGGCAGACACAAGTGTGTGGGACATCGTGGGCAGACATTAGTATGTGGGACATCCTGGGCAGACATTAGTATGTGGGACATCGTGGGCAGACACTACTCTATGGGACATCCTGAAAAGACAATCTATGGAACATCCTGGGCAGACACGAGTATGTGGGGCATCCTGGGCAGACAGGAGTATGTTGGTCATCCTGGGGAGACACAAGTATGTGGGACATCGTGGGCAGACACTACTCTATGGGACATCCTGGGCAGACATGAGTATGTGGGGCATCCTGGACAGTCACTGCTATGTAGGACATCTTGGGCAGGCATTAGTGTATGGAACATCCTGGGCAGACAACAATCTGGGCCCCATGAGTGAAAATAGTTGGGAACCACTGCACTGTACTAAGCCTTTGCCGGGGCCATTAGAAAGCTCTCTCAAATAGATTGAGTATAGCTGCAGAGAATAAGTGTGTGTGTTAGTTCAGAACTT